GATCTGCTGGTCATGCTTCTTGTGATGCACCCCGGGATATGGTTGGCTTTCTGTGCTGCCAGCGCACATTGCTGGGTCATGTTGAGCTTCTCATCAACCAGCACCCCCAAGTCCTTCTCCTCAGGGCTGCTCTCGATCCATTCTCTGCCAAGCCTGTATTTGTGCTTGGGATTGCCCCAACCCAGATTCAGGACCTTGCACTTGGCCTTGTTGAACTCCATGAGGTTCACACAGGCGCACCTCTCAAGCCTGTCAAGGTCCCTCTGGATGGCATCCCTTCCCTCCAGCGTGTCGACCGCACCACACAGCTTGGTGTCGTCAGCAAACTTGCTGAGAGTGTACGCAATCCCACTGTCTGTGTCGCTGACAATGATGTTAAACAGCTGCAGTCCCAATGCCAGTCCCTGAGGAATGCCACTTGTCACCAGTCTCCACTTAGACATTAAGCTGTTGACCACAACTTATCATTCTTATTCTAACATGTTTACAAGTTTGCTTTACTAACTTCTGTGTCATTTGGAAAGATTATGTTTTATTTTCAGGATATATTACTTATGTATTTTAAGACATAATTTTAAGTCTGATCTTCCAAAAATGTTGGTCATAGAAGCTGTTTTATGGAAAAGAAACCAGATCACAAAAAGAAGCAGAAAATTATAATCAAACTTGTCATCTTAACCACATGCCCAAAACAATTCTTCAGATATGCTAAGCAGCTTCACTGCCTTCACTGGAATCTGTACATAGTTCATCTTACATCAGTTCTTATGCTGTTTTAATATGCTAAGCAGAAAGGTAGTAGTATCTTCCACTTCTCCCTCATTTTTCTGCTGCATCCATTGGGTATAGCATGTGGAAGTTACTCACATGCTGTACTAATTGTGCTGGGTTTTTGAGATCTGTATTGGGTGACTTCTTTTCTTTACTCCTACTAACTTATGTTCGTATCGAGGCATTTTTTCTGCTGGTTGAGACTGATTGCTGTTTCATGATATTACTTTTATATTTTATCTGTATTACTTTTTGTTGTTGCTGTTGCAGAAATTGTTTTATCTAATATTTAGAATCTTTCAGGGATATCTCATTTTACAGTCTAACATTCTGGTAGATCTGAAGCCCTTTGCAGCTGAATGTTAATCCTCAACAGATTATTGTATAATTTTTTGAAAGCTGAGTGATACCAATGATGAAGGCAGTTGCCATTTTATTCAATGACAGTCTTTAATATGAGCATTTGTACTGCACATGATTTCTGATCCCTAAGTTCAGGGCATACTTAAGGTTTGGTATCATTCCAGGTATTAGTGGAGGAAGGCTTTTCCTGCCTCCGAGAGTGAGAACTGTAACTAATTGATGCAATCAGTAAGATTGTCAGAATATTTAAAAAATGGCAATAATTCCATATTTGACACTTCAGAAATGGTTTCTTGTTTCAGAATGTCATTAAGTATTTGTTTATCTAGTAAAGTGATCCTCTGTTTATATTTGTATGTGATCATCATTGATTCTTTTGTAATTTTCAGATTTTTTTTCTAACTTCATTCTCAAAAGTACTAGGTCAAATTATTTCATACTTTCCACTTGAACTTACTTAACTTTGTAACACAGGCTTGACTTTTGAAGGCCAAAGTGCATAAGGATGGGTGCACAGTTGTACATTTATACATTGTAATCAATTTCTTAAAAGGCATTATGGAGTCATATTTACTTATATAACTGTTAAAGTTTTTTTGAAATCAAGTTAAATAGTTCTCTGTTGTTTAAAAATACTATTTATCTGAGTCAGCTGCTTTCTTTTCTCATTCCATCTTCAATGAAATGAACATGATACAGGCTATTACATCTAAATACATTTTACATAGGCCAGTTATTTTTTGTCAAGAAACTAAATCAGATACCTAAAAAGCCAGCTTGTTAGTGTTTGTAGATTGAACTCAGAGCAATAGACACATCTATTTTGAAGATAACATGATGCTTTTGTAATTGTTTTTCTTCCAATATTTAATGATGTTGCAATCAGCCAGGATCATTCTGTAGTATTTGTGGTTGGCTTTTTCCTTGTATTTTCCATGGTTTTCATGCTGGCTTTGATGGCAAATACACCTTGTATTATTTTTTGGAATATGAGTTGATATATATCCTCTTTTGGGTGAAACTATACTCCCATAGTTAACAAGTTCTCCTTACTCTCTATCTCTTTTTACCTGTATGTGAACAGATTAAAAAGTTTAACAGCATCAGCTGTTGGTATTTCAAAATACTTATAATTTGATTTATCATACATGATATTGATGAGTGGGGTTTTTTCAGTACAGATAAACATTACTGTTCTATCCTTAAAAAATAAAATCTTCCATCTCAAAGTTATTCCTACTCTATGACATTAAAACTTTAAACTTTTTTGGTTACAGTTTTGAGGATATTCTGTGCCTTGCTGATTCCTCATCTTTGTCAGATATCACCCTTGATGGCAATCCAATAGCTCAGGAGACATGGTACAAACACACTGTTCTCCATCATATGATGCAGCTCCGACAGCTAGATATGAAGAGAATCACAGTAAGAAATTTCTGTTTTTGTCAAACTTGCTAGATCCTTAAATTCAGAAGTAAAGGATAGGGTTTTCTGTGTGTATATGTATATTTAAAATACCACCATTTTTTTGTAATTTAGTATGGAATTGAACAGTGTATAGACATTACAGTATTTAAAACTTTAACCTTTTTTCTTTTGTTCACTATTATTTAAGTATGTGCTGGTTTACTTCATTTTAACATGTTTATTTTTAAATACTTAAACTCTTCATTAGTAAATACTGTGTGATCAATTGCCATGTGACATGAAAGAATCTGCAAAGCTTTTGGTTAGAACTTTCCTGACAGTCTTTACTGGTTTGCTATATAGCTGAAAAGAAATAGCTTATTTCTTTCAAAGCAGTAGTCTGTTTACCCTAAAATTGGTGTTATTGGTATCTTCTTTCATTTTAAAAGTGTTGGTTTCTTTAGTTTGCCTCCCTAAGGAAATCTGGTGATCACACAGTTTCTGTGTGTCTGTCTTTCTCACTTCCTTACCTAACCTACTCTCCCCATTCGTTTCTGTTTCTGATGCTCAAGTTCAAGTGACCTTGATAAGGAATAGAGGACTTGCAGACAACTAAGTCTCCTACAGACTTCTTCAAAATACACTGTAAGGTAGAGGATGAAGGGCAATTACTGGGGGCCTTACCACTTTGTCAACTGTTTTATCTCTTAATATAGGAATAGCCATGCTAATGCTTCTGTGTCTACTCAAAAGTCACATGCAAGCATGAACTTCTTACAAGAGAAATCCATCCACCTGCAAGATAACAGATCTAATAAGCTTTACAAGCAACAGTGTTGCACTGTTATCCTTTTTTGACCTGGTGCTGATACATATACATTACTTTAAATGCTCGTTTGCTTTGTTCAAAGGTTGTACTGCATTAGAAATTGCACCTGTTGTTTTACCCTCTATCCAGTTGCCCTGTAGGCAATCCACTATGAGTATAAAATAGAGCCAATTACGATGTAAAATATAACATGTATGTGGAAAACATTAATTTTAAAAATAAAGTGCTTTGGGAGAGCACTTTGCTCCCAGCATTGGGAGTTTTACTCCCAGCATTGAAAATGCTAAATACTTGTTTGTTTGAAGGTATTCTGTGGGTTTTTTTTTTCTTTCTTGTATGAATCCGTACTGACTTAATTGAATACTTGCTAATTACTTTGCTTTTAAAAAGATCGTTTTCTCAGTATTATTTCAGAAACTCGAATCACATAAAGAAAATGGCTCTCCTGCCCCCTCCCCCCAGCTCCTTCTTGAGAGGAGATGGATCCTGGTAGAACTCTCAGTGATGGGAAAAACTGTAGAATGAGCTCAAACGCCTTTTTACACTGTATGGGATCTGTATGGGGAAAAAGCTATAAGAAATGCACAGCCATGGGAAAAACTTCATCTGGATTCGCACCTTGTTAAACATCAGAGAACCAGCCACAAGTCAGAAAGCCATAGAAAACTAGGCTTCACCAGTTGTGCTGCTCATAAATCTACTTGTAAAAAGATTGTGTTTTGTGTTCTTTATTTGCCTTCTGTTTTTTGAGCCTTGAACTTTTTTAACATTTTCTCCATGTAGAGGTAGCTGTGTTTTCTCCAATAAAAACCGTGTTACCTAGATAATCATATGACTTAAACTGGGATTTTAAGAAAAATAACAAGTATCATGAGATTTGTGATAAAATTAGAGAGCTGGCAATGCCAAATCCAGCTATTGTGCCGAATAATGCAACATGCTGTTGCCATCGGCTGTAAGGGTAAATGTAACTTGGGTGGGGGAATGGAAGAACGCTGTTAGGTATGTGCTTTTTCTCACTTGATTAGTGTACCTAAACTCTACTTACATTTATAGGATCTTTTCTTCATTAGT